CTCTACTAGCCCCAATTTCTAATTTGGGGGGGTTCCTCTCAGCTCCCTAAAAAAATCAGAAAATCCCTAGGAGAACTCCTAAATGACATTCCTAATTAGAACATGAGTGCCATCTCGTGGTCACAATTGCTAACTACAGGCTTACTGGTGAACAGAAAAGTAGGTGGTGATAATTTTCTGCTTCATAATGCAGCCTCCTGAAGTGATTCTCAGACAAATAAATGAGGCTTCTTATATGCACACTATTCAACCAATAAAAGTGTTTAAATACAAAACTTCAGCAGAGTGTTGGGGAAATTTAGTTCCTGGGCCTCAAGAAGCATACAGTCTAGTGCTAAATGCTCACACAAAAATCTTAAACTGAATTATAAATATGAATTAGAAAAAAATACATATATGGATTCAGATATGAATGAGACCAGGGAGGGCTGGAATAGACAGATGGGTATGGTATTTAACAGCAAAAAGTATTTTGAATGAAGATTATTCTGATTTAGTGCAAAAAGTCAAAGAAATATCAAGTTAATGGGAAAGAGGTGGGAAATTATGAAGATGCAAAACACATATGAAAATCCTTTAAAATAAGATATAATAACTTAGAATATAAGAAGCCATTAGATATTTTTATCCCAGATTTAGAAAATTGGCATGTAAATAGAGACTACTTGGAAACATATCTAGTCATGAAAAATTGAATCTTAGATTTTGTTTTTCACAGAAACAACTTTATATGAAAAGATCTTGGAGAGCGAGTGCTATACTAAATGAAAATTACGCATCTATAAATAGTAAGTTCATTAAAATTTATAGGCATCCATAGACTGAAAATATAATTAAGGAAACATGCAAGTACTTATTTAATGAAAGCTACTGGATGCAAACTAATAGTAAGTAAACTTTTCTTTTAAGTTAATCAGATTTCAAGTTTTACTCCTGTTTTCTAAACTCTTAGTTTAACTGTCAGTGTTGTTTCTTTTTTTCCTGAGGAAGAACATTTTTGATAGATCAAGATGTGACAGACTAAGCATGAGTATCGCTTAGACGCGGTTGGTCACATCCGCAGCTCCTGGAAAAGCAAAAGTTGGCTCTATGAGCACCAAAACAGTTGGATTTGAGCTCCTCTTTCATACCTCTTAATGATTTTGGTTGCAGATGTTATCAAGACATCTACAAACTAGGCTTGTTCTTAGTGTTGGTTACTGAAGCAGCTGTTAAATTAATTAAGTCAGTATATTTTCCAAGTCTGATTAAGATATGTTTATTTCTGCTTTCATAAAACAGCTGCGATGTAAGTTCTAAAACTGATATTCCAAACAAACCCCAAATACAATTAAAATCATCATATGTTGTCCAGTTCAATTAAAAGTTTACTTTTGGATCTTCATGTTTTATTTATATTTATAGGGAATACTAGCGTATACCAACAATGTAAGATTGTCATTTCTTTAATTTTATTTCTAACTACTTTCACATTCACTGTTCTTTTAAACATACAACATAGAGGATTAAAACATCAAAACAGAAAATGTAAATGCTGAAATTGGCTCCAATAAGCAAAGCAGGTGATCCAAAAAAGAGACTGTACTTGATGAGAATTGGGTAGTGCTCTCTGTTTCCCTATATTTTGTGGTAAAATGTGTTGGAGTATAATAGTAGTTATGGTCTATTAAGTAGAACCTAGAAACTTATGTAAATCAAATGAAAGGAGAGGAAAAAGGAGGGTGTGATTTAAAGAAAAAATCTGTAACACAAATAAGACAAAAGCTTAGAGGCAACTCAACTGCTGCAGATGTGCTGCATCTGCTCACTTGCCCACTGGGGGCCCAGAGATAAAGAGATTAAGACATTTACACAAAGATGGTTAGACAACAAGATCAAATAAGCAACATGGCACCTAGATCCAGGTACTCTAAACGTAGCATGGAGAAAATGACCCACAAAACCACCTAACCCGCTTACAGCCAATATTTTTAATTAATTTAACATTCAAATAATGTTTTAATCAGGGTGGACAATGAGCTGGTTAATTTTTAAAAGTCCAGTAATATTCTGAACTAGAAAGAAACAATTGATCTCTTAATAATCACTTTACTTAGGTAAACAGCATTGGGGGTTCGTAATGGGACATGAATACTCTTTTTTAAAGACAGTCTAAGTCAGAACAATATTTTAAAATCCCATTTTCACATGAAGATAATAGAAAATTTTACTTATGATCCATGAAAAAACTTGATGGGTGCTCTGAAAATATGAATTAGTTTGTTTCTTCTTGGTAGACCTTCTGCAAGAAAATTATTTTTCTGTTTCTTACTTCATGCACTGCTTTTTTTCTAATTTCAGAAGTTGACATGCTTATACCTGAACACCATGTACACAATAGTGTATATGATCTATAGACCTCTTACTTTCCAACCACAGCAATTTAAAAATATGCAGAAAGATGTAGAAGTCAGAAAGACTAATATTATCTATAGTACATATATAGGTGCTAATGTGAAATGTATGTAGAACCTATAATTCTATAATATTATAAAATGGAACATTATAAGCTATAAAATAAGTGAAAATGAATATAGTCACTCATTCTGGGTCTTGCAGAAATGTGGCCATGTAACCTAGTCACCCTGAATTATGACTTGAAACTCAGGTTCTAAATTTGAACTGACAAAATAGACCTTACTATTCCTAATTATCCAGATTCAACATCTCCTTTCTAACTTACCAGATAGTCTTGAAAGGAAAAATATGACTACATCATCTACTTATTGCAAAAAGTAGGTTCATGCTCAATTCTTGTGATAGTAGTGTTTCCTTTATAAAAAGTCAAAACATCATAAACCTTTAGATTCTTTTACTAAAAAGCAAAAGATTTAATTTATATCATTTGAGATGTAAATTTCCTTGTTCTTGTTAATTTCAGGAGCGTACCATGATAATGTGATTCATTGTGTTTCCTTCTTTACACTGGCTATTAACTATCTTAATGGTAAGCTTTGGACCATTTCTGAAAAAATGTAAAAGAATGTTTCTCTCTAAACCTCATTTCTGGCTTCATATCTCTCTTACTATCTATCATTTTACCCTATATCTTGATTTGACTGACCTACATTTTTGGTTCATTTTATAATTGAGTAAATTTGTATAAGTCAACTTAAGTCCTTTATGAAATGCTGGCTGAAAGAAAATTTATGAAATATATGAGGTATTGGTGTAAATGTCAAAATTCTTAAGTCACAGTACTTACTATAAAGGTGTTTTAGGAAGTGAAGAGAACTATAAGCAAGCTCACCCTCTAAGGCCCCCTTGAAGGCTGAATGTGCTCAATTATACTAAACGTTTAAAGGCAAAACCACTGCACAATAGGGAAAAAAAATGCTTTAAGCTCTTAGACTTTGAATCTATTTTGTGATATATTTAAAGAGGTTATAAAAGTCCTGGTGATTCTCTCTGTGAACCAACAGCCTCATGCAGGAGTGGAGCCAGTGAAGCAGAGAAAGAGCCCAGAGAAGTTGAATCTCAGCAACAATCCCTCAGTTAATACATATTAAAAAAAAAATAACCTAATTACTGGTAAGCAGGAAAAAAGAAAATAAAAAGTATGGAAGGGTAGAGAAGCATTAAATGTGAACACACACATTTGTCTTTGCTATGGAACAAGAAATCAGCAGAGATCCTGAGGGTAACCATTAAAAGCAGAGACTGGATGTTTGTATAACATGTGTGAATGAATGAGAAGAAGCCAAGAAACAGGAAAAAGACTAATTTTAATTACTAGAAAAGCTTCAAGAGGAGACAGAACACAGAGCTGGTGGTAGGAAGGCTTCCAGCTACAGGCTGCATGGCCCTGTGCTCTCCTTGCCAATTAGAGCCAGCCAGACCCCACTGGGGGACTAAGTGAGCAGAGGTAAGAGCCTCCGTGCAGGGTCAGCTGGACTCAAACACTCATGAAAAAGGGACACCAGCCGACACCAGTGTGACCTGAGGCTCTCCTCGTTTCATTTATAGACATACAGAAATAGAAAACAGTAGGATTTCCTTTCCATACAATACAGGTGCTAACCGCGTTATCTACGGAAATACATTGTAACAGAAACGTAATACAATTTATTTCACAAAACACTCAATTAACATCAAAGGAATCCAGAGAATTACAGAATGACTCAGAGACTGAGCGAAGGAAAGTGGAGGGGAGGACTGGCAGAACAATGGCACTAAAGCTGCCACACTCGGGATTTACTACCTGTGTGTTATTTTTCCAATTACATCCATCGCGATATCAAAATTCAGAGCAAAGGGGCTGCTGTCTGAGACGGAACCGATTATTCCCTTAGCTTATTTAGAGCTGACACGGGAAGGGGGGGGGCGGGGAAATGGAGGAGAAATCCAAGCAGTCAGAGAGAGCCTAATCGTCCGTAGATAAAACTCGCAAGTGTATAAACAAAAGAGAAGTGCTTCCCAAGTCAGGACCTAAGGAAATTCTCCAAAGTGAAAAAGTCCACTCTGGAGCCGACCTAAGTGATCGCAGCAGGCGGTGCTGCGGCCGCCGGGGCTCCAGCCACCGACTTGGAACCCGAAAGAAGAGCCAGCCGCGGGGAGGCGAGGAGGGGACCCGGGTCCGGGCTCCCCGGTGCGGGCACCACCGGCGCGTCTGCTCTGTAATCTGTGATCATCCGATGGGGGAAAGGGCGCGGGGCTGAGCCCCCCCGGATTGGGGAGAGAAACACCGGTTGGTTGGCGAGACGAGTGGAGAGACACAGAAAACCCTTGTCGAGGCAAACAGACCTTTCGGCCCGGGGACACGGTAAATGAGCCTTCTCAGCGAGAGGCAGTGAGGCGCTGGGCGCGGGCGACGGCGACAGCGCGGGCGAGCGGGGAGGGGCGAGGGGCCGCCCTGGGAAGGACACAGCCAGTCAGAGGCGCGGGGCGCGGGGCGCGAGGGCGCATTGGAGGAGAACACGCGAGCCCCAAACGCACCAGCCTGAGGAGGCGCCGCACCTACTTCCCCATATAACCAACTACCGAGTGCGGGAGCGTAACTGCGAGAAGGCAGCCAGCCGCCCAAGTGCCATTAAAGCTCGGGGCGGAGAGGACGCGTTGTTACCTGGGTCCTCTCTTCGGGGAGAAGCCGGGCCAGCTGGAGGATTCCCTCTGAATGATTCAAAACTCCGCGATTCTCTTCTGCCACAGGCGCAGAGGGACCCCAGCAACTGCTCCGTTTGAACTGTGCGGATGGACACGAGGATGGGAGCCAGGGACTGAGAGTCACAGAGGAAGGACGGGGGAGCCTGGCATCTCATTGGTAAGTGGCTGACATCCCTTCGCCAGTGACTGCTTTCTCTGATGGTGCACTTCATCTCCCAGGCGCTTCCAATTTTTGACACACTCGCTTCTGCAGAGCCACTCGTTCTAGCCATGTAGCCAGAATTTCAAAACTGTCAGATAAAGCTTTTTTTATTCTTTTTTTTTTACATATTATTTTTTTTTCTCTGCCGAGATTTTATGTCAGAAAAGTTGAAGCAAGAGTACATAGAACCTATCTGTGTATCTCCTAATGCCATCCAAAATAAGAGTAAGCAATTTCTACAACTCAAGTGTAAGGTGAAGAATGCCAGGATAGGGTAGGGATTTTTCTACAAAAGCCACTAAATGGTCAGAAAATAGGATATTTTCTCAGGTATTGAATGCATGTCTTATGATTGAGCAATGCGTTTCTGAGAACAGAGCCCAAATAACTGGGCACCTGACAGTGCAATAACTTGTTAAAATTCAGTAGAGAGGCTCTATAAGTGAAGTTTTACAAAGTTATAGAGACTAAAACAGCGGTACCTTGGATTATGCCGAGGTGCTTTCTTACTGTTGTGTAGGAATGTGATAGATTTAAAAAAAATAATATACGAGTATGTTCAAACATTCTTACTGAGTTTTTATTGAATGGGAGAGTGTGCTAATTTGCATATATAGACATGGTGTACAATAAGCTAAGAATTACTCGGGCAATCTCAAAAAATTTAAGCTCTTTTAACTGATTTTTTTTGAAAACCAAGAATACACTAAATATTTTATAATTATTTGATTTTTAAATTGTATAACCTCTAGCATGAAAAATACTATTCAGTGTGGTAATGTAAATGCAGGTTTAGAAGCAAAAACTTTTTAAATTGTTGCATATGAAATGCCTTGCCTGTATTCATCTACTTTATTTTTTAATCTAAAAGATAAAATCATTTAGAGATGTCATATTTCTACCTTGTTTCTCAATTTTAACTGTGAAAGTAAGGATGAAAGAAGTAGATGTTCATTAGGATACTAGCCTTAAAAAATACATTCAAGTAAGTAGTGGGTCAAATTTAAATTTAGTGGAGGCATAATTGAGTACTATTGAGTTGCAACAGAACTGCAGAAATACTTATGACTATCAGAGCAAGCTTAAAGTTTATCATGATTAATATTGTGACCCTAAACGTAAAAGAATTAGTAATGATAATGTCATGATTTTTTCAAAGTTCCTGTAGTCAATTTTAAGCAACTCACAAATATTTCTTTGCATATTTTCCAACATTGTGCTAAAATTATAATTATAAGTTCTATGTGAACCAGTTTATTGAGTCTCAAACTTGACAGCTATATGTTTCCTTTGATTCAAATGGAAAAAAACAAAAGGGCTATACAAGTATAAAACAAATGTATAAAAATCAAAGGATATGGGATACAAATATCAACTAAGTCTAGTGAAGGAAACAAAGTACACAATTCCAAGTGAAAAGTTAATAAAAGGAAATGTGACTTAAAAACTAAAGTAGAATTCAAAAAGTAACTTAGCTGGAGTGTGGTGAGAAGATATAAACCCATATTCGAAAATGGTAAATCAGCCAAATGTTTATTACAATATAAATACCAATGTGTTGTGCAGGGCTTGGTGGAGCCTTTAAATTGTTCATATTTAAAACTTCTGGCAACTAAAAAATGACGAGAAAAACTGCTAATTTTAATTTTTCTTTGATTTTATGCACAACTGAATAGAAAGTTAGAATTCTCAAAAGTTGGAAAAAAGAACCCAATAGATGAACTAAAAGCCACACTTTGTAAGTTCTGAGACACATGTAGACCATGATGTATATGGAAATAGATCTGAGAAGCTACATTGTGGCATTTTTAAATGGCTCACTGAAATATCTTGATGTTTCCTCAGGTGAGCAATGCTTCAACTATGAGGTGGTCTGAAATATTTATTACGTTTGGGAGATAAACTTAAAGCAAACCATGAGTGAACACGTTAGCTATGTGTATTTAAAAAAAAATAAATAAAAATCAGTTGCTTGTAAAAGTTTACTTTGAGTTTATGTGTCCAATTAAGTTTAAAAATGGACCAGATTTGGCTACTATATACTTCTTTAAGTGTCTTTTTTAGTTAACAGTTTAGAAAACTTTTCCCACCTTCAAAGTACAGGTTAGATAGAGTGTGGTTTAATGGCAAACTGATTTAGTTATAAGGACCAGAGGGTAAAAGGGTAAAGGGTTCCCCAGGGTGAAGAAAGTAAGCAGATGCTATGCTGGCCAAGTTATTTTGGAGCTTGTCTTACTTCCAGGTAAAACAAAAGGTATATTTTTGTGGAAAAAAAAAATGAAAACCTGTGTAGATGGCAGTAATAGTGTAAAGATGATTTGACTATATTTAAGCTCCATTGATTAAAACAAAGTTTTATAGTAGAGGTTAGTGTCCTCGCTCATGAAAACTAATTTAGGATTTTATGATGCTAAGATCTTCAAAATGTTGTGATTTGCTGAATCTATGCTACCACACATATTTTGATTACCTATATGTAGTCTCTGAATTGTGTCTCTTTTAAAATATATTTCTTAAACATTTACTCAATGGTTGGAAATTTGTGTCTCTTAAATAGATTCATATAATTTTGTGTCTTAAAATTTGACTTCAAGAGCTCAGGTTTATTCATCTAAATTTTTACTGGAGATACAAATATAAGAGAGGTGTGTATTTCTGACAAGATATATTTTTTTAGATTAATGTTATAAGGCTGTGATAATATGTTACATGAACTTCTTAGCTCTTTATAGCAGGAAAGAGGCTGGTCGGAAGCTCAAAGCAGTAGAATCTTTGCAGAGGTCTATTTTCTGAGCATTTGTGATCAATAACTCTACATTAGAGACAGGTACATTTTAAAAAGTAATGAAGTATATAAAACTCCTCAACACTTAAGATTTAGGATTAAAAACTGTAATGGACAATGTCCCATCTCCATACCTATACCTTTTAAATTAATTTGTCCTGTTCTTTGATTTTTTTGATATTCAAATATTAGAAGGGTTCTGGTAAATGGAATAGTATCAGTTTATATTTTTCTCAGACACTGAAACAGCTTTATGGATAATTATTTTCATTTAAAATAAATAAAACAAATTGGTAGTGCTTCATAGATAAAGTGGATATGGGAGGAATTTTTAAATGGTTTTATTATATACATTTACATTTTTAGGAAAATATAGTTTTACAGTTAAATTCTTCCATTAGAGTTATTTGGCAGTATTAAATGATATTCCATGAACTTGATATATGACTATGTATTTAACTTTATTTATGTTTTACCTGTGATAAATATGTTCATATGCTAAATACAGAGCATTTTCATGCCTATCAAGCCCTTAAGTTGAAACGCAGGTCTTTAATTTCATATTCCAGAGTATTGTGTGTTTGACATTATAGCCTTCTAAAACATTAGCTCATAAGACTTAAGAGTCAGCCAAAATATGGAAGCTCTTCTTTCTTCCAGGGAAACAGAACTCTAGAAATAGGCCATGAAGTAATTCCAAAAAATAAATCAAAGCTTTGTGTATTTTATGGAAATAAAAAAAAACCTGAATCTACCATTTCTTAACCTAATATAAAATAGTGTGAGATTTATTATTTGTGAGAAATGTATAAGGTAGTCGTCTTATTTTCCCATGTGTTTCTTAAGCTGGAATTCCTTGTGATCACTGTCATTTTTATACAGTTCCAAAAATGTCTCATTGGATTCCTTTGACAAAATCGGTGCAAAATTGATTTTTTTCAGTGGTCCCTTAAAAATCTATAATGACCTAAATAACTTGCTTCCCAGTGGATACCACTTTTTTATTTATTTTTAACAAGTGGATTTATCTTAAACGATCTCGCAGTATTTGCACATTTCCTCTTATGTCAGTCATGGTTGCAGATATTTCCTATACTCACTTACAGAGACCAAAAAACTTGAGATCTGGATAGAAAGCAAGGTATTAATTTATTTGCATGAGCTTTCCTGTAAGCATAACTTTATAGTTTGTATCTATACTCTAAAGTATGGACCTGCTTAAGGGTTAAAGTGACTAAAATGAACATTATTCAAAATTTAAGCAATTGTATTTTGACAAGTCGGAAGATGAAAGTATTGCATTTATCTGATCTAAAAATCTTCTGTGACCATTGACTGGGAAAGTATAATTATATATATATCATTCTATGAGAGGGATAAGAATCCACTTCTTAGCATTCTTATAGCTGTTAAATGCTCAAGAAAGGGAATATGTTACCTCCCATTATGATCCAGTAGTAACTATAGCATATGGAGTTGAAAGAGAAATTTTGCTGATCACTTAGGTGATAAAAGCTGGATTAAAATAATAATCCAATTATAATACTGGCACAAACATTCATTATGAGGCTTAAAAAATTAGGAGGTTTTAATGAAAGAGATATTATAATAGGGTAATTATAGTTATAAATGTGTCTGGAGCTGCAAACAAATCTTTAAATATATTTTCACAAGTATTTCACTAGTTAACATTTGTGAGATCACCAATAGAGAAATGGTACATTTATATGGTGAAAAATTTACATTTAACTATATGAAGTTTCATCTTTTTTTCTCAAATATTTAATTTCATATTTAAAAGTATTAAAGGACTTTTCTGAAACTAAACCAAATATAATGATATCTTTGTGTTTTACCTTTGTAAAGGTAACAAAGAATTTAAATAAAGGATTTTAAATCTTCTATGTTTTTCCATTTGTTTTATAAAAGAATTTACTTTTCAATGATGTAATATTTGCTGAGATACTATTATAGTTTAATGTCCCTAAAATGACCAAGTGAGATGAAATCCTTAAGATTAAGGATTGAGTGATTAAGATGAATATCAACTGGAAGATACAGGTAATGACAGTAAAAATTTAAAAATAATTTCTAGAAATACATTTTTATTTAATTGGCATTTCATGATTCTTAACTATGAAATTATTTCCTGGGCACTTAAACAAATTTA